TTTGATACTTCTAATAATCATCTATGTTAAACTTCATAAGAAAGAGATGAACTAAAGTCATGATAAAATTTAATTGAATTATATCATGAGATGGAAAAATAGAAAGAGAAAATCATATAATTTAGAGACTTCTCCTTCCCGAGAAATCGGTCATACTAGCTAGAAATCTTGTATGTTTTCATCTTTTCACCCATTTATTACTATTCATTCTCAATTATCTGTCTTCTTGAAGGTGGACATCCCCTCATATAGAAATTAATCTAACTCCAGCTTTTAACATCCATCCACTCTCTAAATTAAAAATAATCTTCTTCCGCCCTACCAATTTCAATATAAAGATAATATGATATAGCATGTATCAATAATTAATTCATGATTATGGATATATACGAGTCATTATGTACCTATTGCGTTCTTGAATACGTGCGGTGTTAAAAGTAAGGGATTAGTGGAATTGCTTTATTAAAAGATCTATGACATACATATAAAAGGGAAGAATGTTGGAGATGCCATAACTTTTATGTAAAAAAAAAATTTAAAAAAAAAAGAAAAAAAAATTTATACCTTGACTCTATTGAAATAATCCGCCATGTATTTGAAATTACAAAAGTTTGTTCTTATCCACAATTGAATAATATTAGATTATAAATTAGGGAACATTTGTTTGGTCTCCTATAATTATAGTTGAGATTATGAGATCAGTGAAGGGATGTTGGTGACAACAAATGATGTCAATTTGGCAATGGTTGTTTGACCATAGGTAGATTTCATAAAAATACTCATATGTGATATAACATTATTAATATATTTTCTTCAAAAAAAAACATAAAAGAGGAAAGTACACATTTAAATTAAAAAACAATTAAATATTATCTAAAACTTTATCCAATAAAAATAAAAAATGGACTTATTATCCAAAAATGTTCATATTACATTTTAAAGATTAAAATATTCAATTTATGAAATTGATGGTGTAAACCAGATTGATGGAAGGCACTTAGTTTGTGGATAAGGATGAAGGATATGCTGAATGTGATCATTGTATTGATAAAAAATTCCAACATCATAATCAAAATAACCTGGCAAAATCTTGCTCGAATGATCGTCAAAGTATACGGAGTTTGGTTTGATTTTGATAGCAACCTTGTGATGCAAATAAAATTTCTAATTGTTACCCACAAAAATGGAGTAACCCCCCAACTCGTTGACGGAGATCCATTGAGAGTAAGAAGAAGAATAAGAAGAAGAAGAAGAAGAGGAAGAAGAAGAAGTAAGAACAGCTGGCACAAACTTAGAAACAAAGATATCCATTGTTGTTGCATTATAGTTTCTATCAGAAGTAGTATCAATAACCCTATCCATTCTTACAAGAGTTCCTGACAAAAAGGTAATATAGTACATATGATAGAAGTTTCTGGTGTGATAATATGGGTTGGGCATATTCCGGCAGATCAATTCAACATTTTGTCCATTGAGTTCAAAAGCAAGCACCATAGAAAAATTTGTGATTACGTAAAATCTTTAATTTTCTTCATGATATCAAACATCCTCAAACTCTTGCTTGTCCTCCGTGCTGTAAGGAGATAATTGTGGCCCGAGAACCCAAGTCAGTTCTTCTAACTTGGCCAAACCAAGCTCTTTTGTAATGCCATAAATAATAACAACAATTCCATGGGAGTCTTTAGACGAGATAATGATCTTATGAAAGTATGAATCACATAAGTCGCCAGTCGTAGTGTTAAAGAAAAATTCATTGCAAGAAATCCTAATGGAATCGTCAGGGGCATATTGTGGCTTGATAAAGGTGAGAAGGGATGGATGCAATATTTTGGCCTTTGTGATTGGGTTGAAGAGGCGAGGCTGTAGATCTATTTTGTCAAGGTTCATAAGCCATCCATCCTTAAAGCCAAAACAACGACAACGATAGGTGTGGCTACCGATGGAAGATGACAATAGCTTCTTCTCTTTCCATGGCAAGTTCACGGAAGGTGAGTGTATCGGAGGCCTCTTCGGCATCATTGGAAATGAGCAACTAGGGAGAGGGTCAAAATTGAAATCCAAGGAGTGCATAATTGGCAAGAATGAAACTCCACAAGGTGAAGACAACATATAATCAGACTAAGTCTATAATGGACAAGTGCGATGAGATACAACAGAGGAGATCTATATGGAGATAAGACCATGCCATAAAATTATTATTTTTGCGGTGGCCAATGGAGGAAAGGAGCTACGGTACCTTCCACCACTATCACGCTCGGGTAAAAATTAATAAAAGTTGTAATCAAATATGCAATATTTGTTAGAGATATAAATATGTGGAATAGAATAAGTATTTCTAGCAAATATTCATGTGCATTAATTTTTCTTCTCATTTGTGGATAATGAAATTGGCCAACTGGCATTATCCATAAAAAGAATAGGGTGCAAAATTCATGTCATAAACATTAAATTTTTTATTTAAATTTTTTATATTTATTTTTAAATATAAATTTATCTTTTATTGAATGTGCTTTATTACGAGATCGAATGAGACTATTTGTGTCAAAAGTTTGCATTGTTTTAAGAGGTCTCCAAATGATTATTCTTAAATATATAAATGAGTAGATGATGATAAGACATATATTGTACATGTGTTACCATAGAGAAAGATATTTATTTACAATGGTTATATTATTTTGTTTCACAAAATGAGTTTGGTGTCTTAATGACTCTTTCATTTGGTTGAAATAGTTTTTTTTTTAATAACATTGTAAATTAATACATTTTTGATCAATTTAGTTCATATAATGAAAATATATATCATATAGCACATGAAATTTTCTTGTTTTAGTAATATGCAAACCGCTCAATGATTGTGATTAAAATAGATCCCACTGCATATCTTGTTTCCTCAAATGAGGAATCATTGCATGTGATTGATGGAAGGAATAATGAAATAATAAAAAATTAAGGCAAGTAGTTATTCATCGCCCAATTAATTGAAATGAAAAATATTAAAGTAAAATAATGCATCTATGGTTCATATATGTATATTGCCTTTGCTAGAAAGTAATCAACAAGATTGGAAAAGAAATCTCAGTTGCCTTTTCCACCCTTTTGTTCCTTCTTCCTCTCCATTGGTGTCTGGACAATGCTTCTTCTTTGTTAGACTCTTTCTTTGTCTTAGAGACAAAGAAGAAGGAGGCATTTGTGATTGATTTGTTGGAAGCTTTAAAACAATCCTAAGAGGACCAATCCAATTTGACAGCATGCATTTTATTTTAATTACAATATTTATTTGATCACATAGTTATCATTATCATGATCTCTACGTGATTCCATTTCTCATTGCAATCATGATCTTTATTCGATCATGAGTATATATATATATATAATGTCTTTTCTTCCAAAAGAATCATACGTGATCTAACATTATTAATATCTTTTCTTCAAAACAAATATAAAAGAGGTAAGTACATGTTTAAATAAAAAAACTACTCAATATTACCTAAATAATTGTCCAATAAATATGAAAAATAGACTTATAATCCAAAAATATTCATATTACATGGATAACAAAGATTAAGATATTCAATTTATGAAAGTGATGGTGTAAACCAGATTGATGGAGGCCAATTAGTACGTGAATATGGGCGAAGGATATACTGCATCCGATCGTTGTAAAAATCAAAAAGTCCAACATCACAATCAACAAAACCTGGCGACATATTGCTAGAATGATCGGCAAAATATATGCAGTTTGGTTTAATTCCGATAGAAACCTTGTGATGCAAAGAAAATGTTTGATTAAAACCCACAAAAATGGAATATTCCTCCAAATCATTGACGGGGATCCATTGAGAGTAAGAAGAAGAAGAAGAAGAAGAAGAAGTAACAACAGCTGGCACAAACTTGAAAACAAATATAGCTATCGTTCTCGCGTTAAAGGGACTATTAGGAGTAATATCAATTACCCTCGCTATTCTTAGAAGAGTTCCTGAAAAAAAGGCGATATAGTACATACAATCGAAGTTGCTGGTGCGATAGCATGAATTGGGCATATTCGGGGAGATCAATTCAACATTTTGTCCGTTGAGATCAAAAGCAAGCACCATAGATAAATTTGTGATTGTGTAAAATATTTGATTTTCTTGATTATAGCAAACATCCTCAAATTGCTCATCATCCTCTGTGCTGTAAGGAGATAAATGTGGCCCATGAACCCAAGTCAGAGATTCTGACTTTGCCAAAGCAAGCTCTTTTTTAATGCCGTAGATAACTACAGCAGTTCCATAAGAGTCATTAGAGGATACAATAATCTTATGAAAATATATATCACGTACGTCATCAATCATAATGTCAAAGAAAGTTTCATTGTCCAAAATTCTGATAGAGCCATCAGGGGCATATTGTATCTCAATCAAGGTGAAAAGTGATGGGAGCGATATTTCAGCCTTTGTGACAGGGTTGAAGAGGCGAGGCTGTAGATCAGTTTTGTCAAGGGTCACAAGCCATCCATTATTGGATCCAAAACAGCGGCGACCATAGGTGTGGCTACCAATGGAGGAGAACCGACGACGGAAGGTGAGGACAGCATCTTCTTCTCTTATGGTAAGTTCGCGGAAGGTTAGTTCATCGGAGACCTCTCTGACATCATTGGAAAGGAGCAACCATGGGGAGGGATGACATTGAAATCCAATGAGTGCATAGTTGGCAAGAGTGAAAGTCCATGAGGTGCAGACAACAGATAATCGGACTAAGTCTACAATGGACAAGTGAGATGAGATGCAATAAAGGAGATCTATGGGTAGATCAGACCATGCCATAATATTATTGTTTTTGTGGTGGTCAATGGAGAAAAGGAGCTACGGTACCTTACAACGCTACCACGCTCAGATAAAAATTAGGATGACTTGGAATCAAATATGCAATATTTCTACAGATATAAATATGTGGAATAGAATAAGTATTTATGACAAATATTAAAATGCATTATATTTTCTTCTCATTTTGGGAAAATGAAATTGGCCAACTAGCATTATCCATACATAGAATAGGGTGAAAAATTCAAGTCATAAAAATTAATTTGATTATTTAAAATTTATATTTATTTCTAAATTAAAATTTATCTTTTATTGCATGCGGTTTATTAAGAGATTGAATTTGTTTTAAAATTTAGCATTGTTTTAAGAGGTTTCCAAATGATTATTCTTAAATATATAAATGAGTGGAAGACGAGAACATATATTGTATGTGTTACCGCATACAAAAGCTTTTATTTACAATAGTTATATTATTTCATTTTACAAAATGTATTTGGTGTCTTAAAGGCTCTTTCATGAGGTTGGAAATAGTTTGTTTTTAGTAATATTATAAATTAATAAAATTTCTGGTCAATTTAGTTCATATAACAAAAAATATATATGATGTACATAAAATTTTCTCATTTTAGTAATATGGAAACCATTCATTGATTCTGATTAAAAGAGATCCCACTTCATATCTTGTTTCCTCTAAAGATGGAAGGAATAATGAACAAACAATGGAACAGAACCCACATTTGCCGTTTCCACCCTTCTTCTTCCTCCCTCCTCTCCATTAGAGTCTAGAAAAAGCTTCTTCTCTGTTAGGCTCTCTCTTAGACTTAGAGATGAACATGGAGGAGGCGTTCCTAAGAGGAGAACCTTTACTGTTTAAAAATATGAACCAAAAAATAGTCATATTTGTTACTCTACTTATAAAAGCATTATTGTTTAAAAATTAAATATCATTATGCTTATGGTTCCTTATGATTTCAAAATTAAAATATTTGGATCAAATTCATCTTCATCAATCAAATATTTAAAAATATGTGCAAAATAATGACTTTGAGAACTTTTGAAATTATTTTGAATGCTTTTTGTTCACTAATTTGAAAAGTTTTCAACAATATGTGATCCACTTTTTATGTTTATATTACGCATTTATTTGACGGTTTGATTAATTAAAATGTATGCTTAAATAACATGGCTTTGAGCTTACTGCTTTATTATTTAATACATCACAAAGATTGTCAAAAAATTAGACTCTTAACCACACCTTTCGTCTTCCGTATTTGGGATCGTTTGATCTCACGTTGATGATTCTCCTTAGCAACACAAACCATAATATTAAAAACGGACTTATAATTCCAAAATATTTATATTACATGCTTAGCAAAGATTGAGATATATAATTTATGAATGCGATGGTTTAAACCAAATTGAAGGGGGCCAATTAGGCTATGAATCCGAGTCAAGGAAATAATGAAATTGTTCACAATGAAGATAAAAAAGCCCGGCATCCCGATTAACCTTCCTTTGCAACATGTGCTCAAATGATCGGCAAAGTATATACAATTTGGTCTAATTCTAGGAACAAGTGTGTGATGCAAAGAAAAAGTCTGATTACATCCCACAAACAACGAGCAACCACCTAGATCCTTCATGGGGATCCAATGAGAGGAAGAACAAGAAGCGATAGCAATTGGCACAAACTTGGAAACAAAGATACCCACTATCTTTGCTTTCCAACTATTATCTATCTTCCTTTTTTTTGCATCAATCACCCTCTCTATTTTTAGAAATGATCCTGACAAAAAAGCAATATATTATATGTAATTAGAGTTTTTTGTGCGCAAGCATGGGTCTTGAGTTGCCGGGCAGATCATTTCAACATTTTTCCCATTGACTTCAAAAGCCAGAACCATCAAGAAATGTGTGATTGTGTAAAATTTTTTATCTTCTTGATGATAGTAAATATCCTCAAATTGCTCCACGTGCATTATGGCATAAAGAGGCAACTGCGGGCTGAGAACCCATGTTTGATCTCCCGGCCTTGCCGAAGCCAGAGATTTTGTACGTCCATAGATAACAATAGCAGTTCCTAATAAGGCATTAGAAGAGATAATGATCTTCTAAATTATATATCATGTAAGCCTTCCTCGTCCATGCTAAAGTATGAGTAAATTTCATTACAAAAAATCTGATAGAGCCGTCAGGGCGATGTTGGGGGTTTATCATATGCCCTTTGTGGGGATGGTGAAAAGAGATGTGAAAGATATTTTAGCCTTTGTGAGAGGGTTAAAGAGGCGAGGTTGTAGATCTTATTTGTCAAGGGTCACGAGCCATCCATCCTTGGAGCCAAGGCAGCGACGACCAATGATGTAACTATCAAGGGAGGAGAAGTGACGTTGGCAACCGACACCGGCCTCTTCTTCTTTCATTGTAAAGTCATGGAAGGTGAGTGAATTGGAGGCTTCTCCAACTTCACTGGGAAGCAATAACCAAGGCGAGGGACGACATTGAATTCCATTGGGTGCATCATTGGAAGAAACAGAATTCCATGAGGTGCAGACAACAGAGAGTCGAAGGTTGTTTACAATGGGCAAATGCGATGACATGTAATGGACGAGATCTTTTGGGAGATCAGACCATGCCATAATATTATTGTATATATTGTGGCAAATAGATGAGAAAATACACTTGAATGCCTTATGCCAAGTGGATATGAACAGAAATAGCAGGAATAAAATAAGCATTTGTGGCTAATAATTTTTTGGTGAATTCTTCTTATTGGTGGCTTAAAAAAAGGTCAACTTCTATTTTCCCTAAATAAATGCATAACATACTTCTTTCTTTAAATAAGAGCTTTTAGATTTAAAATTTTTAAAATAAGCATTTTGAGCTGACTTTGTTAAAATTAATTTTAGATTAAGCATTTCGAAAACTCAAGTATAAAATTTTAAATTTATTAAATTAAATATTCTATATTTCTTTTATAAAAAATTATCTTTCATTTCGTACAGCTCATTAAATAATCAAATAGGACTTTGTGTCAAAATTTAATGTCATTTAGAGAGTTCTCGAAATGATTTTTCTTAAATACATAAATTTAAATGGAATTAACACTTAATCGAAATGATTTGGTTTGGTTAAAATTATAATATACATTTTTGTAATTATTATTTATATTAATAATTTAATTACTTGTGCATCAAAGACATATTGCTTTTGTTTAAATAACTAACAAAAATTGATTAATCTGCAGAGGCCATGTTTAAATAAAATTATATCAAGCATTTAACTATGATCAGAATTAAGATGTACTTTTGTTTTAAAAAATTATTTTAATAAGTTAAAGTTTAATAAGAGAGGTCATTAGTTTATGTTAATTACCAAATGGAAAGCAAGTTTTTTATTTCTTGCATGAACGGAAAAAAGTTCTCGACTTTGATTCTGCAGGTCAATAGGATTTAAAGTGTTTAAATGGAGTGTTTCAATTTTTTTAAAAATAAATTGAATTTATTTAAAAAAAGTTAAATTTTAGATGGGCAACAGCTTCATTAAAATTTTATTAAAAAAATAATAATAATAAAGATTTGTTGAAACTGCCCGAGTCCTGTTGTCTCTCTCACAACAAGAAAATTGCTCAATACCGGCGGAATTTCAGGAAGATTTCCAACGGATTTTCTGGCAGATTTACAAATTTTCAAGCAGATTTTCAATTGGATATGTTTCTGACAGATTTTCCGATGGAGTCTAAAAATCTCAGAAAATATATTTTATTCATAATTTTATTCATTAATAATTTTATAGTTTATTTTAATTGATTATTAATTTAATAATGTATTTTAATTAATTATTAATTTAATAACATAGTTTAATTAATTATTACTTAAATAACATATTTTGATCATTATTTTAAAAATAATAAATTTAAATTAATTAGTTTTAATTGTAATATTATGTAGGTTTTAATATAAATAAAAAATTTATCCATTAAAACACTTTTGTAGGAATGGCATGGTGGTCTTATGATCGCGGGCAGGGAGTGGGAGAGATCATCGGTTCAATTCTCATGGCAGACTGGCAAATCCCTGGGCATGGGATACAGGCCTGCTGGTGAGAATGGGAGCGAGCGTGGGAACCAAGACCGCTGGCTAGGAATGAAGAGGGTGCGGGAGCAAGTCCCACTGGCGTGGGCTAGAGCAAGATATAGCGGGCTGGGGTGTGCATCCGTGGGATGCAGCGGGCAGAAACGTTCTTATGCATCTACGGGATGCAGTGGGCTAGGGTGTGTTCGTAAGATATAGGCCTGCTGGGGCGTAATTATTTTAAAAACCGTTTTATTTATTCTAATGGTTTTTTTCCGCCGGGAAAAATTTCCTGCGGATTTTTTGCGACAGAAAAGTTTTCCGACGCTCGATTTACCGTAGAAGGTATTTTCGTCGGAAATCTGCTAGAAACTTATAATTTTGCATAAAAAATATGCGATTTTTTTTTTTTTTAGTATATCGCACATTTTGGGCTAAGCAAACCTCCTTTGGTTAGCTCATAATTGCTTTATTATCCCTCACCTTCAACACACATATCCGTCACCTTGGGTAGCCAGAAGGCCTAGAGCCATCACTCGACCTCATAAGCAACCTAGAAGGAAGAGCCTCAGCTACAATGGCAACATCTGTGGTGCTGCCTCTCGACTCGTATTTGTTCTTATCCTTAATTGTTGTACACTTTGCAAATATGTTGGGGGTAAAATGTGGCAAAGCCCTGTGGCAGGGTTCGACCTGCGCATCTAGGTCGCTAGGTCATGGAGCAGCTCCCCCGTAATAAATTTGGTTGTAAGGATATTTTTGGATTTTCTTTACTATTTCTCTTTGTATTTGGTTCTTTGTTTCATCGTTCCATAACAATAACAGCTCTACACAGTGTGTTTAATTATGCTAGGGAAATTGCCTAAAGACCATAATATTTTAAATGTTTTTTTTTTTTTTTTTGGGGGGGATTAAACTCAAATAGATTATTTC